ATTCTTAGTTAACAACTCTGTGATTAATACCACTACCATTTAACATTTACTATGAGCCAAAAGCCATATTAAGAGGTCTAAGCATATGTTCTGTTTATCTTTATAACACTTCAGTGAAGTTCTTAGCCCCTAAACCAGCCGTTCTCAACCTGTGGGTCACGACCCTTTTTTTAACAATGAAAATACATCCTGCATATCAGATGTTTACATTACGATTCATAACAGTAGCAAAATTACAGTTATGAAGTAGCAACGAAAATAATTTTATGGTCAGGGTTACCACAACACGAAGAACTGTATTAAGGGATCACAGCATTAGGAGGCATTAGGAAGGGTGATAACCACTGCCCTAAACTAAAACACAAGAGAGGTAACTAACTTGTCCAAGTCACAAGGCAGGAAAGTGTAAAGCTAAGATTCACATCCAGGTAGTCTGACCCCAAAGCCTGCACTGTTACCCTATTGTTCAACCTTGCCAAACACTGTAAGAAATCAAAGTTACGTCTACACCCAATTTTCCCCATTAACTGTATTTGGGCAGATTATGTATCTAACCCACTATTACTGGGCATGAAGGTACCAAAAGAGAAGAGAAAAAAAATATTTCCATGAAACAGATAAGAAAAAAACATTAAGGACAAAAGAAGACATACAAATCTCTAACACAGAGTTTCTCAATCAGGACCTGGCTGATGTGAACAAGATGATTCTTTGTAGTGGTGAAGAGATGAGGAGGCTGACCTTCATTGCAGGATGTTTAGCAGTGTCCCTGACCTCTACCTTCCAGATGCCAGTAGCTCCCCCACCCCCAGGATGAGAGAACCAAAAATGTCTTCAGACAGTGAAAAAAGTCCCTGGGGGTGGGCGTGGGGCAAATTCACCCCACTTGAGAACCACTGCCATAAAGTTTCTTCAAATTAGAAACAGTGAGCAGCTAATATGCCTGACTGAGGTTTTACTTTTTACAAATAGATCAGGTGAAACTAATTACTGGTGTCTTTGAGATAATCTCAGCCACCACATCCAGATCAGTAAAACAGTAAGTCTACAGAAGACTTCTTGCATAGGACAAGATACTACAGTATAATCTTCCTCCACAGAGGATGTGTCAGTGAAATGACCCCAATAGTGAACAAAAGTTCTGCAGCCCAGATCATGAGCATTCATGTGCAAAATAATACAAAGCCTTAACACTCCAGCCAATCCTCCTAACATTCAATTACATAATCTTAACTTTAATTCCTATTATCTTATTTGGGTGACCATGAAATATAAAAGGAAATCCAAGAAAAGTGCTATGGTATGCCTGATCTGGTTTCACATTAGACATTCCTGGTTTGAACACACAGGTCCTGCTTGTTTTCTTTCAGACTGGATGACAATCATTAGTACAATTTCTTTAGGGACTTGATAATCACAGAGGAGGCAGTGAGCCCCAAACCAGCACATCAGCATACCCTGGGAAGCTTTCTGGGGAAGAAAACACACATAGATTCCCAGAGATTCTGAAGCGTAGATATCTGCTGTGAACGATATCCTTTGCTGTGAGGTCAGGGGTAGAAACCTCCAATCTCAAGCCAACTCTTCACTGTTTGTGTGTGAAAACTAGATCCCAGAGAAGTGAATGACTCTCCTTCAGTCTCCACGCTATTCCTGGTGACTCGTTGCTGTCAAAGTAAAACTGTGCTCAGGAATGAACAGCAGCACATGCCCCATTGCGAGACAAGAAATATGCCATCTCATATACAAGGCAGAAGGTCAAGCAGACCACAGCCATCTGATCTGACAAACACATCTGACCTCACCCTTCTCCCCGTACATTCTCCTGCTCACCTTCTTTCCATATTTCCTAAGTGCTCGCAGTTGCTTAGCCTTTTCAGACTTCTCCATAGCAGCCTGTTTAGTCTGCAGCTTCTGTCGAATCTAAAATGCAAAGAGTTGTCAGTTTTGTCATTGGAATCTGGAATGGCCACTACTTAGGGTTCACTGGAACTTTGTGTTATGGAAACTATGGGACTAGTAAACCATCTATTTCAACCCCTATATCTTACACACAAGCACAATGAGGTCCACAAGCTGAGCACTGTGCTCAAGAACCCAACGTGTCCATGGCGGAGCCAGAGGTTCAAAGCAACTTTTCCACTCCTAGTGTGTGTCTGGGAAGGAAGACTGACTTCTTCCCATTCCTGCTGGCTGCACACTAAGGTTAAAGCAGCAGGCACCTCAGTGCCCTTCTCCAGTGTACCACACACAGAACAAACTCAAGCAGGTACCTGGCCTCTTCCATCACACATACACCTTTCAGTGAAAGGATGAGAAGCTGTCAGTGTGTACAGAATTCACAGTAAGAATTTGTACAGAGACATGTCTGGGCTCACCTCTAGGTTAGCTTCCTTGGGTAATATCAATATTAGAGCTCCCTAAAATACACCTTGAGATACAAGGTGTACAACAGTCCAAGGAGTACTATTAAAATATACAGTTGTCCCCTGTATTCATGAGGGATTGGCTCCAGGACCCTCATGGATACCAAAATCCACCAATGCCATAATATGTGCCTATAACCTATATACAGCCTCCTCTATACTTTAAATCAAATTTCTAGGATTACTTTAGTACCTAATAGAATGTCTATACTTCAATTCTCATGGATTTAATGTAGTGCTCAGCACATGGCAAATTCATGTTTTCTTTTTGGAACTTTGTAGAATGTCTTTTTCCCAATTAATTTTGGATTTGTAGTTAGTTGAATCAACAGATACAGAACCAATGGATTCAGAGGCCCAACTGTATCTTGGATTAGCTGTTGGAAATTCTCTTCCTCCCAAAGTTAAATGAGGACCAAGTTCTACCTAACTACAAGTTATACTACCTCTGAGACACACATTAATCCCTCGTTTTAGAGAAAACTAAGGCCCAGAGAAAAGTTTTTACCTGTAAGTCATAGCTCTGTTCATTGGCAATAGCCAGAGAAGAACAGTTGCCTTCTCTACCCATCATGCCATAACCATGACAGCTAGGAAATACAAAGGGCCATTTTTACCTTGGTAACCAAATTTCTCACAGTACCTCTCCTCTTCTTAATTGTTCAGATTAGGAAAACATCATTGTTTATCTAAATAGTGGTGACTGGCATGGCTCTGAAGTGGACAATCTCAGGAAGAGATCATTGTTCTCTGACAACATATTCCCCATTATTGTGCTGCTCCCCACAATGGTACTGTAAGTCATCTTAGACATGAGCCAACTGAATATACTTAAGTGCAGAGCCCTGGCTTTCCAGACAAGACATACATGTCTTACCTTCTGCATCTGCTGATCAGACTTGGCCATTTCTGCAAAATAATCAGTGGGCCGCTTGGTAGGGATTTTGAGCTGGTGGAGGCGGGGTAATACTGCAAGCACCGCAGCCTGGGCTTGACGGTAACTAAGATTATAGTACAAAATGCGAAATGAGGTAAGGGAGAGAATTCTTAATATTAAGAGAAGCCTTAACGTTCCTTAATGATATCTCTCATGAGTTATCCAAGCTCAGGACTCTCAACATCTCACCTCCATTGGCAAGGTCAGATGAACAAACAAAAACTGGAAAACTGGATTAAACCTCACTAACTTGTTCTGGAAGAAATTTAGCTGTATGCCAGGCAGGGAGAGTTGTTGCTAAAAGTAAGTCAGTAGTTGAAAAGAATGACCACTCTAGAAGGAGCCATTAACACACAAACTAATGTTAATTATGGATGTAATACAAGAAAATATGTAATAACAAGAAAAGTCCACACAAGAGCCTTCCATAAGCAAATTTTTGTTCTAACAACTGAATGTACACACTCAAAAATACTTTAATAGGGAATATTTCTAACCAGTCCACAGAGGGAATCGTGACTGCTGGACCAAGGAACTCTTCTGTCAATCAGGGAGACTCTCTTACCTCTTCTTAGTCAAAACAAGCAGTCCTCCCCACTCACAGGATTATGCAACTCCCTGGTCCTTCTGAGGAGTGCAGGCTCACTACTCTCCTCTCAACCCCACTCTCTAGCACAAAGACTCTCATCTTCTGCAGCATTTGAGAACAAACATACAAACTTATCTCCCGCTGAAAGTCGTCTTCTGGATTAACAGCTCTCTGGGCCTTGTTCTGAGATGTTGGTACCTCAGATCCACTGATCGCTGGCACAGGACCCAGGGTCATATCGAGTCTTTCAACCCATTCCAAATCCCTCTTGAACTCGGCCAAACACTGCTTGAGGCCATTCTAAGAAATTCAGACAATGAAATCATCAAAAGGGAACCCCGAGTTTGTCTTTCCCAAGCCCAAGGTGCTAAAACAACGGACAAAACACTAACCCCCAATACCCAGGCAAGTAATTGACCCTCTTAGCAATACAACGAGTTGTATCTTTCCTGGAACAAGAATTAGTTTTCTAAGCACAACAATGCCCTATGAGCATCTTGTTCGCGTTTCCCTCGACCCGGCGCCTGAGCTCACCACGTCGTTAACCGCTTTCTTCGGCCCCTCTAAGACGACATTGAGACCTGGCTTCAGAAGCCCTCGGGAAAATGCATCTTGCAACTGCAGGACACAACTGTAGTCAAAACCAGAGGAATAAGGCTCCCGCTCCCGTGCCTCGCCCCGCGAGCTCGGCTGAAACCTACCTCTCTGTCAGTGACTAGAGAATTATCAGAATCTGAGTCTGAACCTGAGAGCGGTGGAGTGTCCATCCAGCAGCACGCACGACCAATACCTCCGATAAACGACCGAGTACCCCGAGGAGCCCTCGCCTCAGCTAGCTGCCCTGGGGCTCCCAACAACTCTCACTTGCCCCTCCACGTGGACGCCACCCGCATCAGCACTAATCTCAGATAGCTACTGGTCAAACTTTTTGATCCGGCCTTCCGCTTCCGGCTGCCGACCCACACTTCCGGCTCCTCGTTGCTATAGGAACCACTCTCCGTTTGAAAGCGTCTGGACGTAGGGGTAGTGTCTCTGGATACGTGCGTGCTTTAGTGACCCAGAGAGAAGCCCCGAAAGGTAGGAGGAGGTTCCTGAGGTCTCCCGGAGGAGCTAGAAGTTAGGAGTGAGCAAAGGAAAGAGGAGAAGGAGCCATGTGCGGCGGGGTGGGCGGGAACCGGAGACACGGGCAGGGGCGGGCCTGTGCAGGGAGCGGGGACGGGACTGGGCGTGTCCTGCGGGGCGGGCCCTGCGGGGGGTGCCGGGCAGGACTGGGCGTGTCCTGAGGGGTGGGCCTGCGCAGGAGCGGGGGCGGGGCTGGGCGTGTCCTGCGGGGCGGGCCCTGCGGGGAGCGCCGGGCGGGACTGGGCGTGTCCTGTGGGGTGGGCCTGCGCAGGAGAGGGGGCGGGGCTGGGCGTGTCCTGCGGGGCGGGCCCTGCAGTGGGAGCTGGGCGGACCTGGGCGTGTTCTGCCCGGCCCGGGCGGGCGGACCGGTTTCTCAGTTCTCAGGAGTTGCTCTTTGGCAGGAGACCATGTCTACCGTGGTAGCTCAGTCGCTGCATGTTTTTGGTCTTCGATCCCGTGTAGCCAACAATATCTTCTTCTTTGATGAACAGATCATTATATTTCCTTCAGGAAATCACTGTGTAAAGTACAATGTGGATCAGAAATGGCAAAAATTCATTCCAGGTAAAACCCCTTCCATCCTGACACATCAGGTACATTAACCGTATGTGCCACATAATACCTCATAATCCTAACATGACGATTGAAAAGGTTTCCTAACCAACTGGTATATACATGTAGCTTTATAAATGTAGAGGAAATAAATGTTGGCTTTTTAAGTATAGATTAATCAATCACACAATCATAGTGAAAATCACACGTGAAATGTTGATTTTAAAAGTGCTTTTTTCACTGTAATTTTAGGACAGAAATTATTTTTAGGAATCTCTTTTCATGCATCTCCAGTGTCATTGTCATTGTCATCATCATCACTAGAGCCAGTTTGTGAGTTGTGTAATGCAGTTTACCAGAGTACATACCTTCATTACAACACATTTTGAATCTATGTATGATGAAGATACTGGAAATTTTATACTAAGTCACAAATAGGCATTTTTTTTTTTTTTTTGGAGACAGAGCCTCAAGCTGAGCCCCTGCATAGAGTGCCATGGCTTCACTGCTCACAGCAACCTCCAACTCCTGGGCTCAAGCGAGTCTTCTGCCTCAGCCTCCCAAGTAGCTGGGACCACAGGCGCCCGCCACAACGCCCGGCTATTTTTTTTGGTTGCAGCCATCATTGTTGTTTGGCGGGTCCAGGCTGGACTTGAACCCACCACCTTAGGTGTATGTGGCTGGCGCCTTAGCCGCTTCAGCCACAGGCACCGAGCCACAAATAGGCATTTTTATAATAAGACAGCATTTGTTTTTGTTCACATTGTTGTGAAATTCATGATTTAACAACCTAATCCATTTTTTACCATCCTTTGTTGCATTGAACACTTTCTATTGTGACATGTACATACAAAAGAATATACACTAAATATACATAATATTAAGTTACAATAAAAAGGAGATCTGTAAACCAGACCACCCAGTATAGGAAATAGAACATGGCCAGTTCCAGTGCTTGTCTCTAATTGCATTCCTCCCCCTCCTCACACACACCCCATCTTGGATTTTGTAATTATTCCTTTACTTTTCCATATAGTTTCACTACATATATGTTTAACCTCATGCAAGATATACTTTTGTTTTTGCTATTTTACAATTTTATATAAATGAAATCTTAGCATATGTGTCCTGTGACTTGCTTCTTTTGTTCAGCATCATAGTTTGAGACTCACTTGTCTTGATTCATATGACTAACTTTTATCATATGAATATCTTTATCCTTCCTAGTGTTGAGGGCCATTTGGGAATAACAGTTATTTGCTATTACAAGCCATACCTATATAAATGTTCTTGTGTGTATACAAACTCATCTACTTGAATAAAAACTACCCCTGCTACACTCACTACAATTACTGACTAGTGTGATAGTAGCAATTTACACTCCCACCAGAAGTTCATAAGAGTCCTCATTCCTCTGCAACCTTGCCAACTCTTGGTATTGCCCAACTTCCTAATGTTTTGTATATCTTGTGGTTGAGAAAAAGTATCTTATTGTGGTTTACATTTTCATTTCTCTATTACTAATAAGAATAATGAAGGTATCTTTTCATAGGTTTGTACGGTTTATTTATTTATTTATTCATTTTCTTCCTTTGCTTTCTTTTCTTTCTTTCTTTCAAGACAGGATCTTGCTGTGTTGCCCAGGTTAGAGTACAGTGCTGGGACATCATAGCTCACTGCAACCTCAAACTCCTGGGCTCAAGAGATCCTTTTACCTCAGCCTCCTGAGTAGCTAGGACTACAAGCACATACTACCACACCCCACTAATTTTTCTGGGTTTTATAGAAACAGGGCCATGTTTTTCAAACTCCTGGCCTCAGGTGAACTTCCCAACTCAGCCTTCCAAAGTACTAGGATCATTGGTGTGAGCCCCATGTCTGCTGGGTATTTCTGTTTACTAATAGTTTTATAGTAAATGCCATGTTTTGCATGTAAATGCCAAATTTTTTTTCCTATACTGTTTTATTCTATTATCTCCTTTGGAAACTCCACCATGGAGTAATCTAAATTATTCCTTCAGATTTTAATTGCTTAGTTGATTGATTTTCTTTTCATCTGCATCAATCCTACTGTTTAATGTATCCACCAAGAGTTTCCTTTGAGTTATTGTGCTCATAATCTCACCTTTCCCACTTACACTACTTCTTTTCTGCTCCCAACTCTATCTTACATCAGGGGACATTTCACGTGTGTGGATCCTCCCAGCCCCTATGTTCAAGTTCTACCCACGTATCCTGTAAACAACTGCCTTTAAGCATCCTTCAGGTTCAGGCCAAGGATAGAGATAGGCTGGGGAAGAATCCAATAGTGATCTTGTCAACAGACTCAGGTGCTATTTGCCATTTGGACAGGAAATGCCAGAGTGCTCGGCTCCCAGGACATGATCTAAAAGAGGCCTTGAAAACTGCAGGTGGCCCCTGGACTCCCCTTAATGGAAAGGTACCCAGCCAGAGGACACACCCCCCAGAGGGGTACTCTAAAACATGGGGCTGAGGGAAGGAGCCCTGCTGGCCAAGTCTCAGGGTATTACTCATGAAGTGAAAAATATGAAGGTCTTGAAATTGGGACATCTGGATTTGGTCAAGCTCCTCCTTATATGAGTTCATGGAACCTCAGTTTCCTCATCTGTAAGATGGTGATAGTGTTTAATTGGCTTGTTCAGCTCAGAGTCATGATGAGGCTCAGATGTATTCATTTCTTCATTTGCCAAAAATTTATCAAGTACTTTCTGTGTGCCAGTGATAAAATAGATACACATAAACACATGCATACAAAACTTTATCCTCATGGTATTTCCATTCTAGTAAGGTAGAGGGTACTCTAAGTGTTAGTGGTAGATGCTAATGAGAAAAAAATGAAGCATGGAAACTGAAGCTGTTGGGAGAGTATGGAATTGTACAATGGGGCCTGGGGAGGGCTCACTGAGGGCTGCTTTTTTGAGTGTAGACAGAAGAAAGCAGAGGAGCTGGCCTTGCTGATGTGGGAGGTGCAGGGCTGTAGCAGAGAGAGTAGCAAAGGCTCTGAATTAGGAGGATGATCAGTGTGTTTGGGAAAAGCAAGGAGACCAATATGGCTGAAGGGGAGAAGATGGAAGAGTAGGAAGGAAGAGGAGAGGCAAAGAAATGATAGGGAGCAACACATATGGGCTTCATGGGCCACAGGCTCTTACTCTAAGCAAGATGACAAGCCATGTGAGTGAGTTCTGAGTGGTAACATGATCACAGTTTCATTTCCACAGGTTCATCCTGGCTACTATGCAGAGAATACATTTAAGGAGGAATAAGGGGCCAGGTATTATGGTTCACACCTGTAATCACTTTGGGAGGCTGAGGCGAGGGGATCTCTTGAAGCCAGGAGTTCAAGACCATCCTAGACAACATGGTGAGACTTCATCTCAACAAAAGATAGAAAAATTAGCCAGGCATGGTAGCACATGCCTGTACTCCCAGCTACTTGGGAGGCTGAGGCAGGAAGATTGCTTGAACTCTGAGAACTCCACTGCACTTCACCCTGGGTGATGGAGTGAGAACCTGTCTCTTAAAGAAAAACAATGGAGGGACCAGAAGGAAGCAGGAAGCAGGGAGACCAATTGAGGGATGAGTGTTGTACTCCAGATGAGAGAAAATAGTGCTGAAAGCAGGCTGGAGGCAGCACCAGGGATGGTGAGGAGAGAGCAAATCCTGGATATATTTTGAAGGTAGAAGTGACAGATTTCTTCACAGGACTGATGTGGGGCAGAAGAAAAGAAGAAGCAAAGGTTTTGGCCTGAGAATGGGAGAGATGGAGATGCTGTTCACAGATGAAAAAGGCTGAAGATGGCAGTTAATTTTGGACATGTTAAGGCTGAGGTGCCAGCTAGACATCCAAATGGAGATGCTAAGTAAACTGTTTGATTTCAGGCCTAGATTTAAGGAAGAGAGGTCCATCCAGACTGGGATAGGAATTTGAGTGTCATCACCACTGAGGTGAAATTTAAACCCTCTCACAGTGTGAGAGTTCTGTAGGGACTGATGTCTGTATAAAAGAGAAGAAGCCTAATGAGCAGGCTCTGGGGCACTCCTGCATTTAGTGCTGGGGATGAGAGGAAGAACCAACCAAAAAAAGCTTTACAGGAATGGTCAAAAAGACTGGAAGAAATCCACATGAGAGATAAAATATTTCAAGGAGTAGAGGAGAGTCATCAACTAGGTCAAAGCAGTACAAAATTTTACACTCAAAAATCAGTCAACATATATTCATCACATACTAGGTACCAGGCACTGATGATTGAATGGATGATGGATAAATAAATGAATTTGCAAGAAAGCCATGGCCCCTACCCTCTGGAGCTTTTAGTGCAGTGGTGGAGGCAGGAGTATATTCAAAGGAACAGGACTAGGTAATGGAGCAGGACACATGCTGTGTGCTTGTAGGAGCCCAGCAAGAAAGCACAAAAAGAGGGAGTGAAAAGTGTTCCTTTGCCTTCTCTGATAAGCAATGTCATGCTCACAGTTGCATTTTTTTTTTTTTTTGAGATAGTCTCACTCTGTTGCCCAGGCTAGAATGCCATGGCATCAGCCCAGCTCACAGCAACCTCAAAGTCCTGGGTTAAGTGATCCTCCTGCCTCGGCCTCCCAAGTAGCTGGGACTATAGGTGTCCACTAGAACACCTGACTAATTTTTCTGTTTTTAGTAGAGCCATGGTCTTGCTGTTGCTTAGGCTGGTCTGGAACTCCTGAGCTGAAGAGACCCTCCCACCTCATTCTCTCAGAGTGCTAGGATTACAGGCATGAACAACTGTGCTGGCCTCATGCTCGGTTTTTGCTTCTACTATACCCTTTACCTGAAATCTGTATTTTCAGTCCCAGCCTCTCCTAGCTTTAGAATCACATCCAACTGCTAGACCTCCTTACTTGAAGTTGCTGCAACATGACCTCACACACAACATATACACAACTGAATATCATTTCCTTCTTGTTCCCCCCTCTTTCCTTATGACTTTACCTTGCCAAATATTCAAACACATAATAAAGATATTATTACAAAGGCAATGTGGCCCTATGGAAATATCCCAGAAACCTAATTATATCAATGTCATAAAGGTGGCATTAGTGATTACTTGTGAGACTAGTTAGGTATTTGGGAAATGATAATTTAAATCCTTGCTTCATACCTTTTACCATTATGAAGTCCACATGTACTAAAACTTAAGTGTAGGCTCGGCACGTATAGCTCAGCAGCTAGGGAGCCAAACACACCGGAGCTAGTGGCTTCAAACCTAGCCTGGGTCTGCCAAACAACAATGACAACTACAACCATAGCCGGGTGTTGTGGTGGGCACCTGTAGTCCCAGTTCCTTGGGAAGCTGAGGCAAGAGAATTGCTTAAGCCCAAGAATTTGAGATTGCTGTGAGCTGTGACACCATGGCATTCTACCGAGGGCAACAAAGTGAGACCCTGTCTCAAAAAAATTAAAAAAAAAAATGTTAAAGACTTAAGTGTAAAATTTTCAAAGCATAAAATACTAGAATCAAATTAGCATGAATAAATAGTATTTGGATGGGCTAATTTAGGCATAAGACAATGGATGTACTCTTCATCAGCAGTAACCTCCTCAGCCTGCAGTCCATCACAGGTGGCCCTCTGCTTCCCATCACCTAAACTAGAATCTTCAATGTCATTCACTACTCATTTCTCTATCTGGCGCCCTCAGCCAGGTGCTCACATGTCTTACTGTCCTCACCTCTTTCTTTTCTTTTTTTGTTTTGTTTGTTTGTTTTGAGACAGTCTCACTCTGTTGCCCTGGGTAGAGTGCTCTGGCATTATAGCTCAGAGCAACCTCAAACTCTTGGGGTTAAGCGATCCTCTTGCCTCAGCCTCCCGAGGACCTGGGCCTACAGGAATACAGGCACCTACCATGATGCCTGGCTAGTTGTTTCTATTTTTAATAGAGACCAGGATCTTGCTGTTGTTCAGGCTGGTCTCAAACTCTTGAGCTCAAGCAATCCACCCACCACAGCCTCCCAAATTGCTAGGATTATAGGCGTGAGCCACTGTGCCCAACCTGTCTTCACCTCTTAATGTTTCTGTGGTCTCCCCTCCTCTCCACTCCTGCTGCCCCTACTGCTGTTTATTGCTTCTTGCTACCATCACCTCTCACTTGTTGAAAGCCTATTTACTGGTGTCCTTCCCTCAGGGTTGTCTTCCAAACAGCTGCCAGAGGGTTCTTTCGATAACATTTATCTGACCCTTTCTAAAAATTTCCAGTGTCCTCCCAGGGGAAATCCAGACTCTTGTGTGACCCTCAGTGACCCCAAACTTGGGTTCATCTCTGAGCTTTCATGACTCCCTGCAGCCCTTCCAGAGCATGCCCACTGAGCAACTTGCTACATCATTCCCTGACTTATCATCAAGCAGCACATGGGGCACATAGCAGGGGGGCACATTACGGTCACTTTCTAGCACATCTTCCCTTGCCTCATGCCCTAAGCCTGCATCTACACACCATTTATCCACTAGTTACAGCAGGTACAGGGCCTAGGGCCAATATATGATCCATCCTTAATTATATTTCTCTTTATTTGAATGCAGTCAATATTTAAAAATAATATATAAAATACATTTTTAATAATTTTTTATTAAAGGAAGGGGCTCATAAAAGCCAAAGTAAATGCCCAGAGCCCACAAAAAGTATAGTGTGGCCCTGACTGCATTTTCCAAATAAAGTATTTGCACTTTAATCTTTGCTTCAGACTTTACTTTCTAAAGGAGCACATCTTCTACTTCCATGCTTACTACTTCATGATGGCAAGATGACTGCTGTATCCCCAGACATCACCTCTGTAGTCCAGGACAAAAGGGGTAGAACGCATCTGTCCCTGGTGCTTAAAAAAGCACAACCTTTATCATAAAGCCACTCCAGAAGACATCTGCATGCATCTCAAAGCCAGAATGTCACATAGATCACCTAACTGGGAGGGAGGCTAAGGAATCCAGCAGCTAGCATCCTCGCCTCTGGACTAGAGGAAGAGTGTGGAATGCTGGCCACTCAGGGGTAAAAGCCTCTACAATCTGACCCTGCCCAACCCTTTTAGGCCCATCTTTGGCCACCCAACTCACATGCAGTGTTCCAGCAATGCCCCCACTGTTTGCAGTTCTCCCACTGTGTTATACCCTACATTATATCCACTCCTTTGCTTAAGCTCTTACCTCCTTAACCCATCCCATACCCTATCCCACCTTATCCTTCTTTGTGAAGGGTTCTCCAACTTCTCCCACTTCATCCTCAAAGGTGCCTGTCCTAGTTATGTTAATAATAGTCATACCCACTTGTACCAAGGGACTGCCAGAGATAATTCCTGCCTTTGCATCAGCAGTGCCCACTGCCATGCCTGTTTTATGTTTAATCACGGTGAAAATGTGATCTACCCTCATAATTCCCTCTTACTTCTGTTTGCAGGCTCAGAAAAGAGTCAGGGCATGTTAGCCTTGGCCATCAGTCCCAATCGGCGATACCTCGCTATCTCTGAGACTGTACAAGAAAAACCTGTCATCACCATTTATGAATTGTCATCTATCCCTTGCCGAAAGCGCAAAATCCTGAGTAATTTTGACTTCCCAGTTCATAAATTTATTAGCATGGCTTTTTCTCCAGACTCCAAATACCTTTTGACTCAGACATCACCTCCAGAATCAAACCTTGTGTACTGGCTGTGGGAAAAACAGAAAGTAATGGCCGTCATTAAAATTGACACTCAGAACAACCCTGTCTACCAGGTACTTTGTAGCATAACAATTATGGTGCAAACTATTTCTAAAATTATAGCTGTCTTGTACTGAATACTTTCTATATATCATAGTTCTAATTTCTAACATGCATTTTAAAATTTAGTCTGACAACCCCCATATAAAATATGCCTGGTTATTATCCCCATTTTACAGAGGAGGGAACTGAGGCTCCAAGAGGGTAAATAACTCACCCAGGAGCACAAAGGGAGGGCTGGGAGGCCAAGGAGTTCTCTGACTCTAGCTCCAGTCTTCCTTACTCAGTCCCAGAACAGCTTTCTGATTGGGCGCAGAGGTGGATTAGTAAAACTTGCTGTCTCTCCCTGATCCTGGCCTCTTTCCAGCAGTACTGCTGAGCAGTAGGAAGATTTCAGGAGTATAATGTAAAGTGGTAGATCTTTAGGAAGCTGTTGATGAAGTTGCAGGATTTTCTATTGTGGTTTGAGGGCAAAATCAATACAACTCATCAGGAGCCTGCCTGGCTGCATAGATAGGGAGTCCTGAGGAGGTTAATTTTGGTATTGTCACCCTAGCCTAGGATCGAGAACCCAGTTTTATAGGTTTAAGAACTCAGTTCTGTTCACATTCAGAAATACTAGCTAATCAGTGTCTCAGGAATAGATTCAATTATTCAGTGAACAAGAAATGGATGTATAAATCAGCATATCACAAGCAGAACATGCACATCATTTATCCAGTGTACTCCCTTCCTAGTAATAGAGAAGTCAGGAGATGAAATTAGTAATCAGAAGGTTGCTTGGTGATCAAAAGAATCATAACAAAGGCAGGTAGAACCAGAAGGTTTTCAAGGTTTCTACCAGGCCATAGTGAGGCCTGGTGATGTGTCCTTATCCAGAACAGAGAATATCTCCTGCCAGGCAGATCCAATAAACTTTTGTTGGCTGCCCATAACGAACTCAGCACTGGGGATACAGACTTGAAAAAGCCACAGCCCCTCAAGTAACTCCCATCTAGTGGAGACAGCAGGTTGACTACACATTACTGTATAGACAGGCCCCAACTTATAATGATTCAACTACAATTTTTTGACTATGGTGGTGCAAAGGCAATATGTCATTAGTAGAAAGTCGCCATACAGTACTCTCATAACACCCAGCAGCAGCAGTAAGCCACATCTCCCAGGCAGCCACGCCATTGCAGAGGTAAACCCACCAAAGTACTCTAAAGTGTTAGTAATGACTTTGCCCAGCTGCAGGCTAAGGTGAGTATTGTAAGCATACTTAAGACAGATGAAGCTAAGTTATGATTTTGGATAGGTTAGGTGTATTAAATGTGTTTTGGCATATGATAGTTTTAACTTTATGATGGATTTATCAGGATGGAACTATGTGGTAAGTTGGGGAGCAAATGTTTATTGGAATAGGGGCTACGGATGAAGGGTGCTCAATTGATAAACCACATGACATCCCTAAATATGTGGCTCCTCTCCTCCCCTACATAAGCTTTGTCTGTGTTTCCAGCTGAGACTTATTCTGTTTGTTGGTAAAACGTTTGTTGTCAAAACCTGCTCTTTCTGATTTTTGGCTTTTGTAGATTTCCTAGATTAAGACTCATGGGCTGTACAATATTAATGGCCTTTGTAAAATGTGGTATGGAATTACATGACTTAGTGATACTTGAAGGATATTCTGACCCTACCTGAAATAAATATTAATTAGCAAAATTGAGAAATACATGTAATTCCATCAAATTGGTTTTATGAATCTTATTCTTTAATTTTTTACATTATACAGGTGAGCTTCAATCCCCAGGATAACACTCATATTTGTGTCACTGGAAATGGGATGTTTAAGCTTCTCCGCTTTACTGAGGGAACTTTGAAGCAAACCAATTTCCAGAGGGGAGAACCCCAAAACTATTTAGCCCATGCCTGGGTGACTGATGACAAGATTATTGTTGGCACTGATACAGGCAAGCTCTTCCTCTTTGAATCTGGAGATCAACGCTGGGAGACAAATATAATGGTCAAGGAGACTACCAATGGCTCTAAGAGCCTGGAGGTCATCCAGGAATCAGAGAGGTATGGTGCCCCTCTGGGCTATGCATATATACTCATTGTACTAACAGCATCATACAAAAACTACATTCTTTAAAAGCCACTCATAACCCCTTTACCTTAAAAGTCAACTATATTCACTTTCCCTCTTCCTGTCTAGTATTAATCTGTATTCAAGCACAGATTTGATAGTTATAACCATAGCCTAGATATTCTTTTCATGTTTATATCTAACTTCCTTTTATAAGCCTTTTATTGATAACAGTATTCAAAAATATATTTTGTCAAAAATACATTTTCAAGTGACTAAGTCACTGAATTGGTTAAATAACTGTCCACCGAGACTGTGCAAGTATGCAAAAGGCATCTTGCTAGGTGCCAGGGACTAAAGTCCTCAAGGAACTTACAATTCACTAAGAGGCAAGAGACCAACTAAGAAGTGCAAAGATATGTTCTTGGTAAGTCTTATAGGAGGATATGGGTGAGGAGCAGGCTGAGGAAGGAACCGTATTATTGACCATTGTAAGAGAGGTCCTGCTTTGCTTCTAGGACAGCCAGTACAAGTGGTATCTCATGCATGTTGGGACACACCTTTGGATGCACCCGGCACTGCTCTAAACACTTTCTGTATATTCCCACTGAATTCTTACCACATATAGTCCATACTATGATCATGCTCATTTTATAGATAAGGAAACAGGCTCAAAGAGCATAAGTAATCCACCCAAGATCACAGCACTGTCAAGTGGCAGGATCAGGATTCAAACCCACATCTGTCTAACTCTAGAGCCCCAGCCCTCAACCACAAGAGTATCCTGTAGATTCTTCTTCCTCAGTAACTTTCAATCTACACATTTTTTCATCACCTCCCCATGCCATGACATCTCCTTTTTTGTGTGTGATTATGTAGGCACTTCCTGAGAAATCCCCATGTCCTTCTCCAGTTGCTGTGTTCACTCCTTCAGTCCTGGGCTCCAGGACTCCCAGAACAAAGCCCAGACTCCTTGGCTTGGCCTTCATGTGCCCGCTGTTCTCTCCCTCTGTAGTTCTTGCTTCTTTCTACCCCAAAGCCTTGCTTTTGGGCTTGGCCATGCACAGTTCTCTCTGCCCTCCCACCCACTCCCCTAGGAGTGTGCACATATCTGACACACTCCTGACTGTCCTTTAACTCTCAGTTTCCACTCTTCTGAGATAGGTGCCCCTCTTGTGAAACTGTCCTTAGAAAACTCTTGTGACCTGCTGACTATAGGCTCAGCCACCCCTAGCAGTCCTTAGCACATGTTATCCAGACTGTGAGCTTCAGAGAGGGAGAGAACTGTGTCAGCCTTTCTTACCTTTGTTTCACAGAGCTGGTAGTGTAGTAGAACTCCAGCTAAATGAACAAAAATGGAAACCTGGAATAAAATCTTAGCTCTGCCACTTACTAATTGTGTAATCTTGGAAAACTCAATTCCTCTGAACCACTGTTTTTTATTATTATTATTATTACTTTTGTATTGTTGGGGATTCATTGAGGGTACAAAAAACCAGGTCACACTGATTGTATTTGTTAGGTAAAGTCCCTCTTACAATGGTGTCTTGCCCCAAATGAGCCACCGTTTTCTAAACGAAATGGAGGTAATCATCATTGTCATTACAGTAACCACACAGGGTTGTGACACTGCCAGATAAATGTGCGCCCTCCCAGTCTTTCCTCTTTGGAGTCTGCATAGCATTCCCAGACTAAAGGGTGGCATTTGGCCATGGGAAAGGGGAGCATAGAGTGGTTTCTCCCACTACCAAGGGCTGTGCTCATCTCCTTGGAGTTGCCTCTGTAAACTTTATCTGCTGTTTTCCTTTCCCAGCCTGATTGAGTTTCCTCCAGTCAGTTCTCCAGTCCCCTCCTATGAACAGGTCATGGCAGCAAGTAGCCAGGCCCACCTGGCCATGCCTGAGGTGTTTGCCATTGCACCCTATTCCAAGGGATTTGCATGTTCTGCTGGGCCAGGAAGAGTTCTACTCTTTGAGAAGTTGGAAGACAAGGATTTTTACCGTGAGAGCAGAGAAATTCAGGTAAGGAAGGAAGGGAGGAAGAAGCAAAACTGGAGTCCTACTGACATTTGTCCCCCTGGCAGCAGTGCTCTGCCGAGCTGTCTAGTGGGAAGGGACAGGGCTGCAGTACTGAGCAGAAATGGTGAATTGAAATATCTGTCCTGAGGGAAGCTTTGGGATGAGGTAAAAAGAATTGGGGTTTAAAAAGAGGAAGAGCTTGATTCAAATCCTGGGAGAGAACTTTGTTATATTGTATTTCCTCTTAAAACCTTCATGTTCCCACAATAATTATAGTATTATGCTCTGTGTTAATATCTAATGCCAAGCATACCACCTGGCACATAGTAAGCATTCAGTAAATGTGGACTGTGATACAAAGTACTGTGGAGATGGATCATATCTAGCAGGGAAAGAATTAGAAAAGCTTCTTGGTGTTTGATAGTCATCTTTGAGGAAGGAGATGGATATCATCTGACAAGAAGAAACAAATTAGGAACTCCTGATGGAGGGCAAAGTTAAACAAAGGAACCACTGAGGGGGAGTAGGTGGTGTGTTCTGTTCCCCATGGGAGACGGTTTCAAGTTGCCTGAGGGGAAGAGGGAACTAAATGTGTTAAAAGATCTCAAATGCTATCCTAAGGGGTGTTTATATAATTCACCCTGGAAGGTTTTGAGTGGAAAAGCATTTTGCTTAAGAAAAGTAGTTTGCCTATGATAGTGGGGCTGATTTTAGAGGTATTGGACTTGAGGTAGTTAAAAACATGCAGAAAGAGTCAGACCTGGGCCTGCCACTTATTGGCTGAATGACATGAATTGCTGGATCCCAGCAAAACTCTTATTTCTTCACTGAGAAAATCAGTCATTGGCATCAAAAGATGAAACAATAGCCAATGTGAGTCACTGTATACATCGCTTGCCACTTAGTGCTCAGAGAATGAAGTCATTCTTTCTCTGTGTTTGGGAATCAGTTAAAAGGTAGTGAGGTCTGAGAACAGAGCAGTGACTAGAGAAGAAGGGAAAATGCCTTGGTGAAGCTTAGGTATGTAGGACTTTCCTTGAGTAGCTGTGAAAGGTCAGAGGCAGGGAGCTCTCAGAGTTGAGGGCTGAGAGGAAGAAGGCAGAAGTATTATGAGCTTTCTTTGTCCAGAAAGCAATTCATTCTTTTGTTTATTCATTTAACACATATTTATTGAGTACGTGCTATGTGCCAGCCTCCGTGCTAGATACTAGGGATACAATAGGGAAACCCACGCATGGAGAGCCTGCTCTTAGAGTTCAGTCAACAGGCAAAAAAGAAAACAGGCCAAGAAAAGGGCAGGGATCAAGAGTGGGCAGGCATCAATGAGGAATTGTCATTTGAGCAGAGACCAGAATCAAGTACAACCATGGAAATGTGGATTTGGACTGTGGGAGTGAGACCAGCGTATGCACATATGTGCACACACATGGTGTTAGCACTGGCATACAGTCGATGCTCTGTCTACTGATCAAGTGTTGATCACTGTAATTGTATTTACTATTGTTGTTTTCATTGAAGCCCTCATATTAGGTAAAATCACTGAGGGATAAAATACATAGAGAGAAAAGGAGACTGAGACAGGATGGGAACCCAGCAGATGACAGTGACAAATAGTAATCATTCACTCACTCCCCAAGTGTGAGCCTACCACTGGACAGATTCTGTGCTTGATGCCTGAGACAAATGAGTAAGATGTAGCCCCATCCCTCCAGGAAGTCACCAGCTCTGGAGAAGAATAAGGCAACAGCATCTATTTTGTTAAGCACCTGCTATGTGCTGGGCACTCTGCTAAACACTGGGAGATAGCAGTGGGTCAAAAGGGACAAGGTCCTCAGTTAGAAGGCTTCCGTCCCATTTTACATAGTGTGTTAAATGTGACAACAGAGGGGACTGGCAGGTGCTACGGGTACATTCAGGGAGTATCAGCACTCATCCAGGTCAGGGCAGGTCCGGGAAGTTATCCTAGAGCCCATGTGTCCTGGCAGAGCAGGGTTGCTGGCTTGTGAAGAAGAGTTAGGTATATAGAATGACAGAACTCCAGGCAGGGGAGCAGAGCTTGCATTTTGAATTGCAGTGTCTGCAATTGCATTGTCTGCAATTCAGGGGGGCAGGTGCTGCCCTCACCACCACAGGTGCTAGAAAAGTCTGGAAGATGGGCTTGGCGCCTGTGGCTCAAGCGGCTAAGGCGCCAGCCACATACACCTAAGGTGGCGGGTTCAAATCCCCAGCCTGGACCTGCCAAACAACAATGATGACTGCAACCAAGAAAAAAAAATGGCCGGGCGTTGTGGCGGGCGCCTGTAGTGCCAGCTACTTGGGAGGCTGAGGCAGGAGACTCGCTTGAGCTCAGGACCTGGAGGTTGCTGTGAGCTGTGATGCCATGGCACTCTACCCAGGGGGATAGCTTGAGGCTCCGTCTAAAAAAAAAAAATGTCTGGAAGATGAGGATTGAGCAGCGCCCTCTGGCGTTGGTGATAAGGAAATTTCTTGAGGAGGAGTTTCAGTAAATAGTGCTGCAGAAGCTATACTCAAAGGAATAAGATCTGTGTGGTAAGGAAATGGAAATGGTGCATGCAGGCCAGCCTTTCAATAACTTCAGTTTTCATAGCAGAAGATAAATGCAGGGAAAAGGAAATTTAATTTGATAATGGCTGCTGGGGAACTACAGACCCTCTCAGAGACTACTGCCAGGAGCTGTGTGACCCTTTTCACTGTTCTGTCACCTACCTCACGTGGTAAGAAGAGCTGTCACATGTCCCTTTGCCGCCCTGAAGTGCACTCTGGTGTGCTTTGTGCCAGGTGATGACATACTATTGGCTTCCAGTGGGTGGGCAAAAGGAGATTTAGACTGACACTTGTTTTAAGCGGGAATCTCAGATTGATAATTTTCACATGTGCTGCTGTCTTATCTAGCCACCAATCACTTAAGGATGAATGCAGGGTGACATTTAAAATCTGCAGAGGTGACTCAAGACCTCCCTTCTTCACACCTAAGGGGAATCCCAGGAAGCATTCCTGTCTGGGAATTTGTAAGATAAAATTGTCTGAGAAAACTCTGAGTGCCTTAGCATGCTCTGCCAAGGTGGGGACATTACTGATAACTGTTTGGCACCTCGGACAGATTCCTGTGGACCCACAGAGCCATGACCCAAGTCAGTCTGACAAACAGGATGTGCTCTGCATGTGCTTCAGCCCCTCAGAGGAGACCCTGATCGCCAGCACCAGTAAGAACCAACTGTACAGCATCACCATGTCCCTGACGGAGATCAGCAAGGCAAGTCTTCCTAGCAATACTTCCTTCCAGACCAGGTCCTGTATGCCTAGCAGGGGGATGGGTCACCATGGGGTAAATTTTAATCCACATAAGCTGAGCAGGGGCTCTCTCACCCCTTTTGCTCGTAATAGAGCAAAAGAAGGTCTAATTTTAATATGTCACATAGACGCACTCTGATACACTCAGTGGGATTGTGAGATTGCAGCATCTTTGTAGAACACATTGGCCGTGTCACACTTGAATCCTGCATATTCTTTTGCCCAGCAATTGCACTTCAGAGAATTTAATCTGCTGCTGTATTTGCTCAAGTGCACAAATACATTTGCCTTCTACAAAAAGGTTTATTAGCATTAGCATAGTAGCGTTATTCATAAAAGCTGAAAGGTAGAAACAACCCAAATGTGATGCTTCTCTTTCTGCTTTCTGGATGGTGCTCTTTGATGAGCAAAAGTTTTCAATTTTGATAAATCTAATTTATCTCTTTTTCTTTTGTTGGTTATGCTTTTGGTGTTGTATTTAAGAATCCAATGCCATAGCTGAGGCCATGAAGATGGCCTTTTTCTTCTAAGAGTTTTATAGTGTTAGCTCTTACAGTCAGGTCTTGGATCCATTTCGAGTTAATCTGTGTATATGGTATGGGGCAGGTATTCACCTTTTGCTTGTGGCTGTCCAGTTATCCCAGCATCATTTGTTGGAAAGACTATTCTTTCTCCATTGGATAGTCTTGACCCCTTCACTGAAAATCAGTTGACTTGTGTATTTATTTCTGGACTCTCAATTCTGTTCCATTGATTTCTTTCATTCTCTATGGCGGGACAACAATGTCTTAATTACTATAGTTTCGTGGTAAGTTTTTAAATTGGGAATTGGGAATGCTCCACCTTTGTTCTTCTTTTTCAAGATTGATTGGTTATTCTGGGTCCCTTACAGTTCCACACAATTTTACAGTTAGCTTGGCAGTTTCCACAAAGAAGCCGTCTGGGATCCTGATAGGATTTGCACTAAATTTTTTTATAGATCCATCTGGGGAGGGTTGCCATCTTAACAATACTAAGACTTTGGATCCAAAAACATGGGGTATTTTCCATTTATTTAGGTCTTTTTCAAATTTTTTCAATGTTTCAGAGTAGTTTTCAGAGTAGAACTTTTTTACTTAGTTAAATTTATCTTTAAATACTCTATTTTTGTCTTCTTGATGCTATTGCAAATGAAATTTTTTTTCTTAATTTCATTTTTGGATTATTAATTCCAAGTGTATAGAAATATAATTAATCTTGGCATACTGATCTTGTATCTTTAAACCTTGCTGAACTCACTTATTCATTGTAATAGTTTTTAGTGGATTCTTTAGGATTTTGCATATATGAGATCACTTCATATTTAATAGAAGTAGTTTTACTCTTCCTTTCTAATCTGAATGCCTTTTATTTTTTTTCCATGGCAAATTGTCACAGCTAGAACCTCTAGTATAATACATTGTTAAGTAGAAGTGATGAGAGCAGACATCCTTCTCTTCTTCCTTATGTTAGGGGGAAAAGCACTTAGTCTTTCACTATTAAGTATAGAATTAGCTATAGGTTTTTTGAAGATATCCTTTATTAGACTGAAAAGATTTCCTTCTATGCCTAATTTTTGAGTGTTTTTATCATAAAAGAGTGTTGGATTTTGTCCAGTGCTTTCCCTGTGTCTGTTAAGATGATCATATGGGTTTTGTTTGCTATTCTATTAATGTGCTATATTATATTAATTGATTTTCAAATGTTAAACCACCCTTGCATTCTGAGATAAAGTCCACTTGGTGATATATAACCCTTTTATATGTTACTAGATTCAGTTTGTTAATATTTTGTTGAGGATTTTTGTCCTCATATTTATAAGCAATACTGATCTGTAGTTTTCTTGTGATGTCTTTGTCCACTTTTGTTATCAGGGCCTCATAGGATGAACCAGGAAATATTCTAGCCTTTCCTTATATATGTATTTTTGAAGAGTTTGTGAAGAATTGGCATAATTCTTCCTTATATGTTTGGTAAAATTTACCAGTGAAGCTATTTGGGCCTGGGTTTTTCTTCATAGGAAGGTTTCTTGGTTGATTTAATCTTTCTACCTGTTAATCTATTTAGGTTATTTATTTCTTCTTGAGTTATTTCACAGTGGTGTCTTACTAGGAATTGGTCCATTTCATCTAGTCCTCTAATTTAGTAGCATATACTTGTCCACATTATTCCTTTATAATCCTTTTTATTTCTGTAAGCTTTGTCAGTAACGTCCGTACTTTCATTTCTGATTCTAATAATTTGATTTTCTTCCATTCTGTTGATCTCTTCAATGAATCACCTTTTGGTTTCGTTGATCTTTCTCTACTGTTTTCCTATTCTCTATTTCATTAACATCTAATCTTTACTGTTTCCTTTCTTTGGTTTGTTTTAGGTTTAGTTTGCTCTTTTTTTCCAGTGTCTTAAGGTGAAGATTATGTTACTTAAGATCTTTCATCTTGGCTCAGCGCCTGTGGCTCAAGTGGCTAAGGCACTAGCCACATACACCTAAGGTGGTGGGTTCGAATCCAGCCCAGGCATGCCAAACATCAATGATGGCTGCAACCGAAAAAAAATAGCCAGGGGTTGTGGCGGGCGTCCGTGGTCCCAGCAACTTGGGAGGCGGAGGCAG